GAATATTTGCAGGATTCAGTGGCATTAAGGTTCAGGGCTGGCACGCCTGGATTCAGTGGCATTAAGGTTCAGGGCTGGCACGCCTGGATTCAGTGGCATTAAGGTTCAGGGCTGGCACGCCTGGATCCAGTGGCATTAAGGTTCAGGGCTGGCACGCCTGGGTGATGGGCCTGACCTAATGTGCTTCAATAACCACATCCAGGTTTATAAATCTGAAGAGCTACACCGTCTTCTAGTGAGTTCCGTTTGCCATGCATCTCTGCATATTGCCCCCTACTTCTGAGGATACCTTAGAAGTCACTACACTCCTGCCTCCCCCCTTTTCCCTGGGTAGGGTACTGAAGGTTGTGTCAGCAGTGAGGAATGTCACGTAGAGGTTACAGAAGCAACTGCCTTATGGGTAGGGGTGTGTGGAGAAGCTGGGCAGCCCTGCCTGTCAGAATGAGGCCCCTGAGTGAATCTCCGAAGGCACAACTGCACCAAAGTTATTGGAAAAGGGATGAGAGGATACAAAGACCTGTAATCAAAAGACAAACCCCCCTTCCGTAAATACATGACTGCTGACTTCATCAACTCTAAAATAGAATGATGGGAAATTCTGTCAGACCACTAATTAATTTTTAATACCATTGGGAGCTGTGTGTCTCTGCACATTGGCCTTAGACACAAGCTCCTTCTGAATGGCAGCGCTGCCATAAATTCCCACTTTGCAAAGCTCACAATGTACAGCTTTTGTGGAAACTGGGTCACGGAGGTGCTGATTCAGTGCTGCGGTTCTTTTGAGGCTGAACTTTTGTGGTGTTTAACAGCTATTATGTTAATTGTCCATCAATCTCTGTTTATTCATGTCCAGCAGACACTAAATTCTTTAAATAGTTCCCCCAACACATTATATAATTTAGTATTTTTTGGACTGATACACCTGTAACTGGGACATCAATACACTGGCTTTGTTGCTTGTCTCATACTGCTGTGAAAATTCACATATCAAAGTGCTCAGTGTCGGACCTTGTTTATATATAGTAACTAATTAGCATTTAATGTAATATTACTTACCTCTGCATGTAGCTACGTTTGCAATTACAGTTTAGTCTTTTTTGCGTGGTGTTTCCATTGCAGTTTGTTCACTGCCATACATAGTGTAAGATTTAGTATATGTTCATATATTTATTTCCACGTTTATGTTCAATAATGTATTTGGATCCAGAGGGATGATAAAACTGCCTGTTGCTAATCAGATCCAATCAGATTCATTCCTTTTTTTTTTTTTTTTTTTGCAGAATCAGTTAAGTTCCTGTCTCTGACTCAAGGTACAATTTAACCGGAACTTAAGGTGTGATTGTGCCTGAACTAGAATAAAATGTATTAAGGACATTATAGGTGAGTCATATGACTGAGAGGTCTGATGGAACTAAATCCTATAGTAGGGATTGTACTATAACTGGGGTTTGGGCTGGGAGGAGTAGCCTACTGGCCAAGAGTTTTTAAGCCAAATGATCTAATTGCAAAAGGGTTACAGTAACGATACTTTTAGTTGAACTGAACTGCATGAAAAGTACCATTCTCCTATAAACCTTGACTGACCTCACTATATGGACCTTCTCCTTTCAGTCTAACTTCACAGCTCTCTGTAAAGTCTTTCAGGAAGATGACAGATTTACCTCACCATAACAGTGTGACACCTAACGTTCAAGTTCACGTCTCTTGCTAACACTCTTCATGTACTGTAACATTATTTTTAAAGGCACAACCTTTAATATGAAAACACGCCAAGAACAAAATGAAAAAACAGACATTGATATCACAATTCATCATATCCTTTCTAAATAAAAGTCTAGCATTTATAGCCATCAGACATATGTTTTGGTTCCAATTTAATTATGGGAATTAATTAGTCATGAAAATTAATTAGTGAACCAAATTCAATAAAAATTTTATTACAAGCTCACATCAAACAAGCTGCTTCTTTGAGATGCTGTTTTTGCCATCAATGGTGCACCAATGTATAGGTACAATAACACAGTACGACGTAATAGATTGAATACATCTGCTTGAAACCATATTTTTATGTATTCTTTGAACTGTAGACACTTATCTATTAATACTTAATACAGTATTTCATTGTATAATATATGCATTTATACAAAAAACCAATCGCTGCATTTCAAAAATTCAAGATGGAAGTCATAATCGTAAAGCGTAAATATCTTTAAAGCAGTCATTTAAATGCAGAGTCATGTATTTCAGGTCCAGAGAGTAAAAGTCCAGACCAAGATTTTGTTTCATCCAACCAGCTGAGAATAAGGAGTCACAGGCACAGAGTACTCAACTGGTAGGTTGAAACAAAAATTCTGGTCTGGACTTTTACTTTCTGGACCTGAATTACCAAACTCTGTATAAATTCCAACTGTTTGAAATACTGGCACTCATGAAGATCAAACAAAAACCAGAAGCCTGTTGGTGATCTTCACCAAATACAGAGAGATGTCAACTAGCATGCCTATAATTACCTTCTTCAGAGTTATGCCATTCCACCAGTATTAAGATTAAAGCAGCCTTTCAATCATCAGTAAGATCTTAAAAACCCACCTTCAAATAGTGAGAGAATTATCTGCCAGAACTTCGGGAAAACTCCAGCTGATGAGTTCACTAACCCTGGCCCAAGCCCTCAACCCCAGAGAACTTGTACAGGATAATCTGGGTAGCAGAATCAGAACAAAACCCACAAGTACCCCAGACTTGTAGGAATGACTGCAGCAGAGGGCAGAAGATGTGTTGGGTGATTTCCTACTAAAACTCATGTATGTGGAACTCGTAGCAAGGCGATCGCTAGCCATTTTGAAGAACTTTGTTACTCATTTTGTTCTATTTTGTATATTGAAATCCATCCATGATCTATACCGCTTTATCCATCTGGGTCGCGGGGAAGCTGGAGCCAATCCCAGCATCATCGGGCGAGAGGCGGGGATATTGAAATGTATATTTTCATTTTAAAGTAAAACATAAGACTGTATGATACCTCTATTATTCCACATCATTATTACTCCGGAACTGATTTACAGCGACTTACAGTATGTAACGTTAAATATGTCAAGTGTGGTTAACAGATCCTGCAGACCACATGTGGGAACTTCTCAGCCAGAAATACCTTTGGAGGCTTACAGGTCTGTGCAAACTTGCTTGTTTGCATAACATGTTAGGTCTGGAATGTGAATAATGTTGTCTAGAAAGTTAATGTTTGAATTATGAGATCTATTTGGGATGAGAATTCACTAAGTGATAAATTTTATAAAGTCTTCTTGAAAAGGCATTTTCAGAGATACACCCAAATACGCACAACAAAACCACTTAAACGGATAACTTTAGAGATTAAGTACTTGCCTAAATGTGTACCATGGATTTGTCTCACTATTTCAATCAGCTAAGTGCTCCTTACTGTCAAACTTAAGATTAATAAAATCCAAAATATATAGGACACTAATCATTTAAAGATCCAGAACCCGGCCCTTTTATGAAGGTTATGAAAGGAAAAGCACAGAGGGACTGCAGATGGAGAAAACAAAGATGTTAGCAAGTGATGCTGCTTTTCATTGCTTGTGAGCATGAGTATGACCTTGGGTGGCTGGAGAGAGCAGCTCCAAAGTAAATGCAGACTGGATTTGAACAAGCAAAACTGCAGAACAATGGGAACAGGAGCATATGATGGACTGTTCCAGATGCCAAGCTGCTCGTAGACACCTCAGAGACCATTTTTATAAAAAATATTGATGATCAAAGACATGTGGAAAATGCAGATGCTTAGGCCGATTAATCTCTGATGTTCTATACCAAACAACTATTTAACACACACACTCATCCCAAAATATGTACATACCACCATTGCATAAAAATAAATACAAGTGAAAACTATACATTACTGCTACATTAAGTAAAGATAAACTTCTTTCAATAACCTTATTTATAAATCACATACAGTACATTCACTCCTATGAAAAACCACTCATCAATCACTAATCACTCATCAATCACTGAGCCTGTAATATTTCATGACTGTTTGTGCATCACTTGTCTGTCGTTCTCAGAACACTGTGTGCAGTAAGAAACACGTTTTTCCAAAGCTCAGGTGTCATTTTATTAAAGAACAGTAATAATTTTGATAGGCTCTTTACACAGAGAAATGTAAAACATGTTTCCTTCACAAAACAAAGTGTCATTTATTTTTGTCAAAGATATAGACAGGCATCTATTTTGGAATATAAACAGTGGAATAAATGATACGGGTAAGCTTGTTCAAACCAGAGTCAGGTGCAACATAAAACCGTTCACAAAACTGTGACCTCATATAAAACATTTACCAAATACTTCTAATTCAAACATTTTAGAAACATCCACAAAAACAAAGTACGCCACATTACTTAATATATATTTGCTTTTTGGGATATAATGTATATTCAAGTGACAAAATGTTGGCTTTTCTTTTAAAATTTCAATACCATATAATTATTTCTTTGTCTATTTATTTTGTATGTTCTTGGATATTGAGTCAATGAAATGTCTTTCCATTAAACATTTCAAATATAACTCATATACAAAATATATTCAATTAATGTTAAAAAATAAATGTCTGAAAAGATTTCAGCACCTAAATTTGGTTTTCATTTTCTCTCCATGTGACAGATGTCCCCGTAGAAAAGAATACTAGCTTAGCTGACTGTGTTGACACACTGTTTACACAGAGGTTGGTGACATCATAACGTACGTCAGGAAGGCTTTTGGGTGGAGAAGCATTCTGCTTCATGAAGGTAAAGACTGAGCATATTAAGTAAGCTCTTTGTTCATTTAATTGACTTTCAGATGAAACCATTGCCAGGGTAACCCATTACATGTTGAAAATATTTTCATGGTCACAAAGACTTAGGGGCCAATTCTGTCACCATATGCATATGGTACTATGGACATTACTGATAGACAAAACAGGAGCATTTAAAAATAGTTTAGAGTCATATTTTAGTATATAAAAACCATAAATAGCATATATGTGTTAACAAACATTAAATTATTCAAGCTACAAAATATTTTGAGGGAGGAGCTTATTTTGAGGGCCACAAGATAAATCTCAGACATTTGTAACCTACATTGAATAAATTATATCTGCGGAAGCCTTACATTACTTTACGGGTATCTTCTCTCACCTGCATTTATAGAGCTGTTATCCCAAACCAGTGACCCAAACATCGAAATGTCAAATTGCATTTAGACATAAAATGCAGTCGGAATTTTCATGTGAAGAAACCCACTAATTTTACAGTGTTGTTATACATCAGAGCTGTTTGGAAAGATAAATGTGTTATGTAGGTGGTCTCTAAAGATATGGTAATGGTTCACTTAGTATTGGGAATAATGTATTTCAGATCCTTTGAGGAAAAGCGACTTTACATTGATTTAGCCATCCAAATGTATGGCTGCAATAACTGAGATAACCGAACTTAAATGCTGAAGTAAAAACTGAAGTATTGCTAACAACTCAATATTTTTAAAAGCTACGACAAGCTACTTCCTTTTGACCTCTGGCACTGTGATGAAAGGAACAGCTGGATATGGAAACAGGAAAATGTCTCTGAGTCTGTTCCATACTCTGTGGTACTTTTACAAGTTGGGGTGCTTCAGGACAGCTCTTGTGAAGGCAGCATGTAGACTCAAGAACATCACCTACCCTAATAGTTGTTCTTTGCAGCAGTTTGTTGGGTCACTTATATTTAGGGTTACAGTGACATAACTGTTGTGACTGCATGTAATATTACTTGTCACATAACATAAAAAACTTCTAAAGAAATAAAGAGAGAATCTTGTTAAATAAAGCACACTTTAAAATTTCTTCTCATTACATGGATAGATATTTGGAATTGTTGTTGCACAAAGATCAACATGTCCCTGGAACATTTTATTGTATATACAAAAGAGCATGGCTTTTTAAAGTCTATTATATGTATCCAGTAGACGAACACACAAGTTCGGGTGTTTACATATTATACAGAGGACCAGTATCTCTTTCCACTGAAGGCCGATGTCAATGTGGCAGACCCTGACCTAGTCATCCCAGTACTCCACAAAGCCTCTGTTATCCAGCCTTCAGCAGTGGGCAAGTGAGCAGACCTGGTCTTGCATTGTATTTATGCTAAACCTTTCATGATGGCCATTACCAAACTTTTTTTAGCATGAGTTCATAATAAGCTGTTCTTTTCAAGAGAACTTTGTGTGTTTTGACAGGTCGTGTTCATTTGTGGCTTGAGTTTAGCAGAAGCTATTCAACTCTTGCATCTTTCTGAAGGATATATTAAGAAAATAGACCTGGGATCAGGTAACTTGGAACTTAGATATTTGAAAAATATTTGTGATCAGTGTGAAACTCCTCTTAGGAGATAGAGGGCAAGGCAATCCTAGGTTTGGTTTCTGAAGCTGCAAACCTTCTAAAACCTCCTAAAATCTATTTTGGTGCAAGTATGGCTGCTTCCATAGCACAGTTCCACATGAGCCATTGTAACATCGCTCTCACGACAGCGTTCCACTCTGAGATGGAGGGGAATCCCTCATTCATGCTATTTAGGATGAGTAAAATCCTGCTACGTCAACATTCATTGGGTACAGTTCTTAACAGCACTGAATAATACTGATTACTAGCTTATAACTTTCAAATGACTTAGTGACCATATTGAAAAAAAAAATGGAATTACCATTCACTTGACCATTTTGAATTCCACTATGTTTTACTTCTAACGCTTATTAGGGGTGTGAAATTTCTATTGTAGAAAAACTACATCTTCAGCAGGTCCCTCTTCCTCTTGAAACTTTGGCAAACATACCCATGCACTTTGTCACAAAGAAAAACCATAAAAACCTGTGTTTCCTTTTTCTGGGGATGGTCCTTTGTCCTGGCACTGTCCTCTGCCTTGCTGTGCCCCCCCCCCCCCCCCCCCCGTCTCTCACTCATCCTTAACAGCGATCGTCCTCGTCACTATCGCTAACCGGCTGGCAGCCAGCAGAGCCGGACTGACCCAGGCGTTTCTGAAAATGCCCATTGTGGACCTGCCACGTGTGCCGGAGCGGCGGCGCCGAGCTGATGGTGTTGGAACGTCCCAAACTTGTCGCCATTGCAGCTTCGAAAGTGAGAGTCTCCTCAAGCCCACTGGAGTCCGGGCTGTTGTACTCCTCGTGCAGCGGCAGGTACGGCTCAGAGATGTAGCGGTGGGGGGTTGAGAGGTGACTCCCCCCTTCCCCCTGGCAAGCCCCAGAGGCTGCCCCTCTCATCTGCCAGGAGAGGTCCTCGCTCTCCCCACCTTCATGGGTCCGTGGACTGTTCCCGTTGTCTGAGGGCATGCAGAGGTGGGCACGACACACCAGAGGGGAGTACGAGATGTGGGGGCGTGGCTGCGAGGGCGTCTGGGGCAGCTGGCGTCTGCTACGCGGGGTGCCTGAATCGGGAACCAAGTTGTCCGAACTGTTCGCCTATGGAAAATACGGGTAAGTCCGTCACTGTTTAGTATGGACCCACAAGGCTGAAGAAGGTAGGAGTGACTGAAGACATGGAAAAGTAGTATGAAAATGGAGGACATTAGGACTTGAATCAGCAAAATTGTCTCCAGAAGCTGACTGACTCAAAGCCACCACCGACCTGTCTGTGCAGGACGCCAGCCCGACCCTCGCTGGGCGACCGTGATTGGCTGCGCGATCGTGATTGGCTGCGCTCCCGTGACTGGTGCTGGCTCCTCTCCTCTGAGTTGCAGCGCGATGTGTCTGGGGACAGCAGGTGGCGCCGCTCCTTAGACCGCCCCCGTTCCTTGCCTCCGTGTTGCTGGTGGTCTGCAGAAACAGTGATGAAGAAAGATGAATTCAACAAGACTGCTTTGCACAGTAGCGAGGTATTAGACAGATCAGGGCATGAGAAACTGGGGACGGAATATTAGGGGTAAATCATCCCGCAGGAAGTACAGACATTAAGAGCAGCAGCGCTGATAATGCAGATGAATGGTAGACTGACCGGCTCCCCTGTAGTTCCTTTGCCGCGGTCTGTAGAGGCGGTCAGGGCTGACCCGTTCCAGCGAGTACTCATCCTGCCACAACCCATTTGCACACTGGTCACCGACCGTGGAAAATGAGCGCTTCATGGAGCCACGCTCTGTCCCCAGCTGCTACACAGATGAAAAAAGGAACGGCTGTGAACTCAGGTCACCAAAACCACAAATTTGATGACTCCATCATTAGGAGCTGTTGTCTGTCTTTGTAGAAACTGTCAGAATCTGGAAAATGGATCAGGAGTGGTGTGGGTACCATTTGCAAAACACTCTACTCTCCAACACCAGGCTAGGGACCATACCAAGGGCTCTTGTACTGCCTTTGCATTTTATGAAACTCTACATGTCCAACCTACATGAAAGGTTCAGAAGAGATATATATGTGATCGTACCTGTGGTTCTACCGCAAGTCGGGGCATCGAGGAGGCACGGATAGATACTCCCCTCCCCGGTACTTCAAGAGGAGCACCCTGTCTGATCCTGGGGCAAAGGAAGTGGTTAATCTCTTTGCACTCCGGCACCTATGGTATCAGAGAAAGAAAGATAGAAACAGCTGTGAAGACTGGGGCAAGCATGGAGTAATACCATAAAATGGCCAGAAGGGGGCAATCACTGCTGGTGTGACATGTGGGTAATGGACTTTCTACATGGACTGTAAAAATAGTGGGACTCCAAGTGGCTCAAGTTGCTAAGATTGTATGCTTGCAATATTTCTGAATATGATGTCCATTCATACATCAGGCTAGATGGAACCAGAGATCTTCCGAAAACATCTATCTATCCATCCATCCAATTGTGAAGCCCTCCCTCCAAAAAAAGAAACAAGTGGATTTTTACACATCAGACGAGAATAAGGGAAGATGATTAACACACATATAAAAGATTAGGACAGAGTTTTTGTGATGCAGTTGGGCATAATATCATTACAAACATGCAGTAAATAAATATAACTGGACTCTGTTTTGTACACATAGTATACATAAGAAGAAAACAACCTGCTAAAAAGACATAAATACCAGAGGGGAGCCCCTCCACTAATAAAATATAATAGACATCAATACTTCCATATCAGAGAAGCACCACAAAGCAATACGACTCAACTAGGACTCTCTCTAGACCTCATGCTGTTTGTCTTTAAATCTTGTATCGCTGTTCAGTTTCCAGCATTCTGACCTTGTCACCAGACCACCCATAAAAAGCTCAAAGTGCTCAGTCATGACATAAGCCAAAAGAAAACTGTAGACAAATTACAGAGGACAGAATTCCATCGAGAGAAGATTAACGATGATGTGATAGGCAAAGAAAAGAGAAGGAGGAGAGAACTGATGGCAGAATGAATAACAACTTCAGAGCAGTTAGAAGAGAGGATGTCAGAGGGACCAGTACACAGCCAGGAAACCAAATCCCAGTGGAGCAGCAGAATGTATGCTGTGGTCGTATGAGACCCAGTGTTCCACTGGGCTAATAGAACATGTTCTACTCTACATCAGTAGAGTCTGCTGTCTGCGGGTCCCCAAGGACTGGTTTGAGAAACACTGCACTACATGATGGTACAATGGTGCTAATTACAACAATAACCAATAAAAAATTCTGTAATGAAAGGAGAATATTAGAAACATTTTTTTTTAAATCCTGCATCATTGTTTGGACAAATAAAATATATAATGACCAAACAATTTTGAGAGAAGTTCAGCTTTTTTGGAATTTTATGCAAAACTATTATATCATGAAAAGTGTGCTAAAATATTTTAAAATATTTCGTTTTTGAAGATATTTATAAAATTTTAAGTATTTCTTAAATATTAACTTAACAATTCATATTCTTTAACAATTTCATCACTGAAGTACTGAAAGATGAACTGAAGAGTGTATAATGATCTACAGTAGATGGGTCACTTTTTTAATAGTATGGGGTAGATTTATTATTAATTTAAAAAATGAATAATGAAATAGTACCGTACACCATCCATAGCGGTTTTGGTGCTGAGCACATGATTGGGACTTGCAAAGATGGGTTAGCTAGCCTGTGATATTCTGGGCCTTTTTGGAACAATTGTTTGGCACCAGATCATGTGACAGTGTTATTCCATGAAGCTGTCTGGGGTCTCTTCCCTACCAGAGAGTAGTGGTGCTGGTGATGGTGGAAGTCACCCTTGTCTTCCACCTCGGGTGTCCTGGGCTGCACGAACATTTCCTGAGGGGAGATTGGGCTGAGGGCCACAAAGCCGCCTCTGGTCCTAAAAAGAGACACCAGGGCAGAGAAATTCAGATATTTCAGGATTCAGAATTCCTTACTCTTGTTTGGTGTTAGATATTCATGTACACCACTCATATTAAACACCTTTTCGATATGTGGTTTGTGTAAAACCTGAAATCGAGAGCGGTTCTACTGAGCTTTGTACCATATGACTGAAATCTAAGACATGACAGGTGTATTGATGCTAGACTGGAGAATGAAGAAAAATGAAGAGTAATAGTCCTGTGTCTCACGGGATATATCCATTCTGATGAATTTGCATGCCTGGTTTCACCGGTAAGACTCTGGCTGTTCAATAAGAGGACACAGTCGTCTTATGTGGTCTGGACCCACTGCCTCACTAACGAGGCAAAACTCATGCGATGTCAGACATCCTGAGGATCATCTGCATCAGCTCATTCAGAACTTCTTCCAAACTAAACTTATACTGGTGGTTTCTAGCAACAAAACAACAATCAGGTAGAGGTATGCTTTGATTCCTCAATATCTTCAGACCATTAAAATACCATGTCCGTGGAGTCCAGAGACCCTACTGAGTAATAATGTGTCCATTTTTGGGCAAAGACGTATAAGTGAAGAGCAAATATGGACTTTAATTAATAAACAATTACAGGGCTGATCCAGCATTGTGCGATATGAAAGGCAGAGCTTTGGCACTGGTGAGGATGTCCTGAGGAAGTGAGGATGCGTCCATACGCTGGAACATTGGAGCATGTTTCTGTGGAAAATAAAAGTAGCGGTTAGCTTTGGTGGCTGGACCAGGAGATCAGAGACCACCTAAGAATCATCATATGGATATGCTCAGTTTTGTATGCTCTAGTTGCATTTCAATTAAAAAGGGGCTCCTATAGCACTAATGAGACTGGTGTGATTGCAAGAAGGAAACCATAGTGGATCTTCTACCTGTTCTTCCAACTGCTGCCTCAGCTTCTTGGCTTTGCTCTGCTTGTAGTAGTCCATAATCATCATGGCCGCATAGATCTTTCCAACTGTCATGTCGCTGGCTGGAATGCCGTTAGTCATTGAAACCATGTTAAGCTTAGAGATTAAAGATGTCAGCAATAAACATGAAGTAACATAAAGCCAAGATATTTGTTTTAATATCTGCATAGTACACCAGTTAACTTCTTTCTAAAGAATCCTCAAGGCTACTATATGGTAGGAGAATATAATGGCTGAAGATACAAATTCCCCAGTGCTGTTTTGTGTACATTTATTGATTATTAATTATACACCATATTTTTGTATAACTGTTTTTTTGAATGATAACTTTGTAGTGAACCTTTATGTATAGGAACAAGCAGGTCCAAGGTCTTCTGGGAAAGATGTGGCCAAATAACACTGATCTCCTTCTGCAGCTCAACGTCCATTTGGCCACGGTCCTCATCTCCTTCACACCAGAGAGAGAGAGAGAGAGAGAGGGTCAAACACTACTGAATGTGACCAAATACCATTCACTGTACAGGATGTAACTTCATTTAAACGCATCTCACTTAAAATTCCACACATAAGTACCAGAGGGATCACTGTGTTCTAACTGAGCCATTGATTTCTGGTGAAGCTCTGCTGTTTATGATCTGTGTTGGTTCTGGGTGCTGAATTTGGTGGGCGCTTAAAACCCTCCTTTCAAATGTCTTTCTTGTATATGATTACATGAAATAGAATTTCTTATTGTCTTTTTGCATGGATGGCTCACTGTTAATAATCCATAAGTTAGTTTGAAACCTTTGGGGTGGTGAAAACATCCGCGCAACATGGGGACTGGAAGATGGAACGTGGGATTTTATTTGGTGCCCCCGCTGCCTTGTAGGCGAACTAAAGTACAACCAAATACACTTTTTCTCTCTAATTTAAACAAGCAAAGGCGTCTGTTTCAGAGAAACAAGCTTACTTTGCACAACTATCAGCTAAGAATTCTTCAACCTGCTGCATTTCACAGTTAGACATGACAGAAAGGACACCAAGCTCATCACCCAGCACTGTTTCATACCTATAGCTATTTTGATCTTCAAGGCGGTCCGGATGAGAGCCATCAAGGTGGAGGTGAAATGGACCGACAATTCCTCGTCCACTGGCATGTTCATGAGCATCAGCCGCTGGTGACATTCACACAAAGGGAAAATTGTGAACTTGACAGAGGCATGAAGACTAAACCAGCTGTCAGTGGTTAGGAGCACAGATGAAGGAACAGGAGCGCTCGCAACGGGAGTATCGCTGCTGCATTGTTATGAAGATATTTGTTGTAAAGACAACAAGAGCAGAAGGGGAGCAAAAACTTGCAAGAGACCTTGAGTTGTTTTTGAAGTTTATAGAATGACTGTCCTTCTTTTTAGGTGTTTTGCTTTCTGCAAGGTCTCTCTTAAAGAAAATAATTTCCTTTAATATAAAAACTGCTCTCATGCGTGACTATAAAAACATAAATATTGCCATTCAAGAAAGCTTACAGAAGTTAACACAGTCTGAGTACAGGCATCTGTGTTTCTGTACAGTATCCTACTAGATAACTAGCAGCAATCTAAGAAGCTCAAATCTTCACAGTGCAGCAGGAAATATTATTATTGTCACTGGACCATTTTTAGACATACAGACCTCATCACAATCACAGATCAGCATAAGGAAAGGGGCTTTTTACCACACAGCATGCTGGAAAGGAGCGTGTTTTCTTTTCTCTAACGCCAAGGTCATGCACATAGCAAGATTATGGAGAGCCAGGCAATGAGAGAGAGAAAGCAGCAAACACATAGCCTTTGGGATAATGACAAGGAATTGTGGCTTTGGGAGAAATACTACTGCATTTGGACTCTCACAAACATGGCTCCACGGGACTATCATGAATGTCTTTCTTGTTGCATGTAGTGCCTGGTTACCATGACGCCCCTTACAAATGAGGGGTTCGAAATACCTTACACAAAACGAGCCCCAAGTAAGGGCAGCACAGCTGTAGCAGGACAATCACATTGCCACTGTGCTGCAGCACAAACACAAACTGAAAACCATATATAATAATGACCCAAAAATCCAGCAAAATTTAACTCAAAATTACTCCAATTTTCTGTATAACAGTACCCCTTGGAACAATCTTCCACTGGCACTGAGATCGGTGGAATCAGCCGAACAGTTTAAATGTAAGCTCAGGGCGCACTTGTTTATGATGGCCATTGGGGTTGTTTGGCTTTGTGTATTTTTTGTTTATGATGGCCATTGGGGTTGTTTGGCTTTGTGTATTTTTTGTTTATGATGGCCATTGGGGTT